CTGGACCACCGGGGGCTCCCACAAACTACAGTAATACTCAGCTAAAGTAAAAACCAAGTTTTCAGTGCTAGCCATGCTCACCTAAGCATACACAGTACAACCTTCATATCCTCCCTACCCCGCAGCCTGGTCAATAAGATTTATTCCACTTTTTAAAGTAGAATGTCACATTCTTCTAGTGGGGACAAAAAAGTCTGAAAGTGACTGCAATGCAGTTTTAGTGACTTAGTACACAACACGCAATTACTTAACCCACTAGCATTCAAGCTTCACAAGGCAAGCAAGGCATACATTGCAGTTGCAGTGTATGCCAACTAAAAAGTAGGCACAATATCAGTTATGAAAAAGTTAAAGCAGACTAACAGGATAAAATACACAGACATATCAGTGGGTGAAAAAAAAAAAAAAGAGGGGTCTGAAAGCAAAATTTGATGGTTTTATTTGGACGCTTAAATGTATATAAACTGTTTTAACAGCTTGCTCTAACATAATACAACAAGCAGGATTACTAAGAGTTCTAAAATGCTTCCCCAGTTTAGGCAGGAGATGTTACTCCGATTTGTTACTCTGAAGATACCAGCAAATAACCTTTTAAATCTGATCATCAAATAGTACATAAAAATACTACAAAGATTCAAAAACACAGTCATGCAATCAGTTTTTCCAATATACCTACATAAGTACAGGCACTAAGAAAATAAAGAATTAAACTAAGAAAGAAAGTTTGCACTGTATATATTCACCAAGAGTCCAAAGGGTAGCTCAATTACCTCTGAAGAAGCATGGAACACCCAAATCTCCAGATACAGAAATTACTAGAACAAACCTCCATAGTGAGCTTTTCATTTTGTGCATTTCAAATATTTCCCTTCCGTAAGGGAATTAAGCCTGGGGTTTTTTTGTGGTATCCTGACAACCACACAGTTCAAGGATACTGAAATCCACTCACTCTGCAAGTTCTGTATGTCCCAATATTCACCCCCCTCCTCCAAGTAATTACGTAGCTCTTAATACTATAACCACTGTAACTGCTGGTACGAAGACAGAGTGAACAGACGAGGATTCAAATATCTAGTCTGATACACATGAAAAATTTCAGCTGTAGAAAGCAAGAAACTGTTTATCATCACAGAAAATGTACTTGTAAAAATCACAGATAAATGGGCATATATCAATATGTTTAGGAGGGAAAAAAAATCCTTTTGATACTGCTATCACAATTTTGCGGACACTTAACACCTTGTTCTCAGTTCCCTCCTGCTCCCTTAGGTCTGGGCTTGTTCATCTCATTAAACCTGCTGCAGAACCGCATTTCCTGCTGTCCCTATAGCACGACTGTGCCTTGCCTCCTCTCTCTTTTTCACAGTCCTTGAAGAATCTCAAATTTGTAGCACAGATGAGCATACAGTATGACCAAAGCAACAGTACTTAATGTACACACACACAAAAAAAGAGAAACTACTCTACGCAATTGAAATTTTAGTTCTGTTGAGATAATGTAAACCATACTGGAATCTAAAACTTTTAGCTTGATCCTTACCAATAAGCTATTTGCACTTTAATTTACAGGAATGTATGTACAGGACTTCGTATATGATGCATAAAAAAAGACACAGATAAAAAAAGCCCCAAACACGTAAAATGCCACTTGATTGTAGAATTGTTACAGTTCAGTAGTATACAAACACACTATATATCTATATTATATCTATATCTACCTATAGATATATTTAGATATTCTATATATCTTGACCATTATCCCTCTTTTTATATTTAAGCTTAACTCCAAGTAATTTTTTCCCCAATTTCAGAGACTTTGACCAGAAGGAAAAGTCAGGATTATTTAATATGGCCTCCTACATATCATAGGCCATTACTTTTCAACAGAAAACAACTGTTCTGACAGTAATCATTAAAAATTGGTTAAGAGTGCATCCAAGGTCGTCATAACTTGACCATGCTACACGTTGAATTAAAGTTTGTTTCTAGATGGATTCATCACATTTTCTTGATGAGAA